ATGTGCCGTGGTACATATGTGTCCACAAGAACTCTACAGCTGTGTCTGAGAATCTGTAAGCATTCCCAGCCTCTCTACGGTAGATGTGGAGGTCAATTCCTAGTTCTCAGTCAAAAATGGGATTCAACCTCTCTGTCCTCACCAGGCCTTTGTGGGAACCTAGTCCCCAACCCTGGAGATAGGCCCAGCAGGAACAGGAGATGTGTTCACACGCAGAGATGGGGATAGGTGGCCTCTCCTGTGCTGTGCTGAGGATGGAGCAGGGAGTTGGAGAGCGAGCAGAGCTGGAAGGCAGTGTCACCCCAGGAAGATCAGTGTTGGGAAGGAGAGGGGGGTGATGCTGAGAGAAGAGGAGAGGGTGTCCTAGTGAGGGTACAGTGTCAAGGGGAGACAGAGAGGCCCCAGTTTGCACAATGGCCAGAGTCTGAGCTAAGAGCCCCAGTGGATGGTGAGAGGTGGAAGGCAGCAGTAGCTAGGCTGGTGAGATGGCATTCCAGGGGAGCCAGATGTTCTGGCCCCTCACCTTGCTTACAGGCCCCGACACTTACCAGCTGTGTGCCTGGGAGGAGGTCGCTTATCTCTCTGAACCTTAGGTCCTTATTAGGGATACTAATGGTACCTACCTCATCATGTTGTTGTGTACATTAAGTGAACTCGTCTTTGTGAGGTACTTGGCACAGTGACTGGCGCTTCATAAGCAGAGGCTATGTTATTGCTGCCGCTTCTACTGGTGGGCGTTGGCGGCTTAAAGGGTGACATTTGTGATTGACTGAAAACCTCTTTAGGTGCCGCTGATGGTCCTGCCAGCCTTTGGAACCACTCTCCCTTCATGTAGGAATATTTACATCAAGCCTTCTCCAATGGTTGGTTGCAGCGTGTGGGGCAAGTCCTGCGTGGCTATAGGGTACAGGCTAGCCCCAGATCTCAGGAGGGAGCAGCGCCCTCCCAGGAGGTAAACACAGCTAAGATGCAAGTCTGAGTATAGAGTGGAGATCAGAAGTAGCAGGTGGGCGCAGAGCTTAGGGGCACCAGAAGTTCTCTGGGGTGGAGGCCATGAGTCCAGTGTATTCAGGAAATACTTCTTGGATATTCCTACAGCACAGCACAGTGCCTAGAGCACTATCTCTGCCACTTCCTGTATGAGCCTTATTTCCCTTTACTGTAACATGGAGACCATAACCGCCACTGTGCCCTGGATTATAATGATGGGAACAGTGTCTCTAAGACATCTGCACTGGTGCCCATTATATAGTCAGCATCTTCTAATTGGGAGTTAGCATTGTTAAGGAACATTGCTGGGACTGAAGGGACAAGAAAGGTAAATCCAAGCAACTCTGTTCTCCAGGGGCTCCCAGGAGACCGGGAAAGACAGAAACACACACATATGAGTAACTTTTAATCCAAGGCAGGCTGTGATAAGTGCTATAACCAGAAGCCCAAGCAATGCAGAATAAGAAGAGGGGAGGGAACCATTCCAAGGTGGAGGCCAGAGGAGCTTTGTGTTATGGGGTGGGATGGTGAGGGCCAGGGTTAACCTGGAAGGAAGGGGGGCTGCGGGGGAAGCTGGTGGGAAATAGGGGAGGAGCTCAGAGGCCCCACCCCGTGGCACCCATCTGGAGTCTGAGACCCCCCCAGCCTTCTGGCAACACGTCTGAAGGACGGAACTGAGCTGGAGATGAGGTCCTGGCCCCCTGTGGCCACATTCACCATCACTTTCCTGCCTTGGCCTGGGTCTCTGTGGTGCCTGGGCGTCTTTGTATCACCGGGCCTTTCCCAGTGCTTTTCTCTCTGTTTCTGAGCCCTGGGCCCGTGTCTCTTTCTTTCCTGGCCTCTTTCTGAGACCTCCTCTCCCCTTCCTGCTTCTCCTCCAGTCTCCCTTCTTTCTTTCACTCGCCCTCTGCCTGGCCTGTCTTTGTCTCTGCTTCCCAGTGTCATTGGCGCCTCTGCCAGCCTCCCCATTAGTCTGTAAGTGTGTGTTTCTGTGCGGCTGTGTACAGCACACTTCTCTGTCTGCCTTCACAATAGATGCTTGAGAGCTCACCAACATCTGTGATGGTGTCTGAAGACAGGGAGGCAGCAGGATGAAAGCAGGCGGGAATTCACTTAAAAACACACACGCGGATTTGCACTCACCCCAGACCGGAGTTGCCAGGCAGGCAAGGCTGCTGATTCAGTGCTGCGGCTGCCGCTGCTGCTTTAGAGGCTTTAGAGGTCTTTTGTCACCATTCTGTTTGTGTTCAGGCTCTTCCTGAGTCCCATCCCACATCCAGCCAGTCCCCTGCATTTTAGTTTGCCCTGGTTTTATTTCCTGGAAGTGGGGTGTGGGCACAGGGATGGGGCTGACATTTCACCACCACCCCTACCCCCCAGTTCCAATGCAGACTCTGCTCCGTGTCACAGGTGTCGCAGACGTCATGGCCGGTGGAAGGCCCAGGCCACCGGGACCTCTGAGGCATGTGTGTGTTCTCTGATTTGTGTGTTTTCTTGTGAGATCACTGATGCTGGTTCTTGGTGCCTTCTTGACATGTACCCAGTACCTCCTTTGCATTTGTAACGCCACCTCTGCCCTTCCTGTTGTGCCTGTCTGATGCCTGCACTCATGGCTCACTTTCTAGGCTTTTTTTCTCAGCAATCCCCGTATCCCCTCTTCACCCATCCCCATCATTGCACCAGAAACTTCCAGAGTTCTGTTTCCCCTACCTGTCCCAGCTCTGCTCCACACTCCCTCCTTCAGGGAGCCTCCCAGGACTGCCCCCAGCGCTGTTCCTCTCCCCACCCCCGCCAGCAGGGAGAGCCCTGTCCCGCCCTTCCACTCTCCTGCCCTGTCTGCCTTTACCGCGGTCTTTGAGCCTGACCTGGGGAACGGGGTGTTTTGCCTCCTTCCCTCCATGGGGTTGCACAGGCAGGACTGTTCGCTCAAGCATTTGCTCACTCTCACTCCGTCAATCAACAGACATATTCGCGACACCTGCTGTGTGCCTGGCAGCCAAGCCCTGTGCTGGGTGATGGGACTGGTGCTCTGAGTGACACAGTCCAGACGCAAGGAGTTTCCCCTGGGCTGGGCAGGGGTGGGCAATGCAGCATGGACCTACTATAGCAGAGGTGGGAAGTGAGTACAGAGAGCTCTGAGGGCATGCAGGCAAGCAAGGAGGACTTCACAGAGGAGGTGACTATTTGAATCCCAAGGGAAAGGGAGGGAGCCGTGTTCTGTCCAGGGAAGACCTGTGTAAGGACCTGGAGACAAGGAGAAAAGCCTGGAGTGTGCAAAACAGGGAGAGTGGGACTTGGCCATGGCAGGCTTGGGGCTTTCTCTTAATCTTGATCCAGGTCAGGACAACCCGTGGGCATCTGGCCTCTCTCTCAGATACTGTCTTGGCTGCAGGGGCTGTTTTGGGGCCAACCAACATTGCTTGCCACTTTTGCAGGCTCAGGATCTACACGGCCTTTCCATCAAGTTAAATTCCTGAGACCCCTCATTTCCCCTCCTCTCTGGACTCTCTTCTGGGTTATTGCTTCCATTCCCCCGTCTCCAAATTGCTTCAACCAGGCCTATGCCAAGAGGCAATTACTTCAAAATCCACAGGACGACAGATACCTTCTTTGTCATGTCATTGCTCATGTTTCCACCGGTCCCTCTGATTATCTAACTGCCCAGGATAAATAGGGTCATAGCTACCATTCAGTGGGCACAGGCAAGGGAATGTACCAGGCATGTCATCCAGCTCATCCCATTTAACTCTTCAGCAGTCCAGGTAAGCGTCATCATCCCGCAGTTTACCAGTAAGGAGAAAGAGGCTTAGAGAGTAACTCGGCCACGGTCACGCTGGTAGGAAGTGGCAGAGGCACTATGCAAACCTAAGTCTGTTTCCTAAACCTCTGCTCTTAAAAGGGACTTTGCAATACTTAGTCTAGACTCGTCACAGGTACAGGCGAGCACACGGAGGAGGCTGGGATGGGGCGGTGACAGCCCAAGGTCACACCACTCCTCCCTCCGGCAAGATGCCCATCGCTGACTCTGACTCCATCCTGCTGCGGGGTTAGCTGCCTCCTCGCTTCCAGTGGATGAAACCAGCTTCTCACTGTCCTCGGGAGACTTCAACGGGACACCAGGGTGTCCAGGCCCCACGCAGGAAAGCTGTGAATATAAATTCCATCTCTGAGCCAGGGCTCACAGGCCACTCTACTCGCAAGCCCTTGACTTGGGCTCCAGGGGCTGTGGGAAGGAGAAACGTGAGTGTGGAGAGTTTGCAGCCTGTAGCTGCACTAGAGAAATGCGCAATGGTATGAATAAATTTGAATAATAATGAGGGCAATGCCTGAATTAGTAATGCCGGCTTACTCACCTGACCCACCCCTCCCCCAGGATCTCAGCTCCTGCCACCCTAATCCCAGGAAATATGGGTGAGCCTTTTCCTTTCCTTTAGAAGACATGGATGGGCTGTCAGGTCAGCAGAGCTGGGGAGCTGCTGTTTCTAACTTCTTGACCCGCTGCAAACCCAAAGAGCTGGATTTGCACACTTAACCAAAAGAGGCTGCCACTTTGTATTAAATCATGTGCTGGCATCAATCCACTCCTATCTGCGCCCCCTCTCTCGGTCCTCTTTATGTGCAACTACCAATCCGGATGTCAAATGTCCGGGGAGGTTCAGAGAGAAAAGACAGCATGGCCCTTGGCCTTGAGGAGAGGTTCCCATTCTAGCGAAACAGATAGGGCAAACACCGTCACCCACCAGCTGCCCTCTACCCCATGGCAAACAAAAGCATGGGCATAGACTGATAGCGTGAGACAGGAAATGCCATGGATAGAGCTGTGACAGCAGGGCTGAAAGATGGGACAAGCTGGAGGTAAAGATCAATCTAGGAGGACTTCCTGGGAGAAGGGAATGTGAGGCAGGTTTGGAAAGAAGGGGAGAGATGGAGCTGAAGGAGGAAAAAGAAGAAGGGAGGCGATGAGAAGACGAGGGTCCTGATTTTGGTGTCTTAGAGGGAGGTCTTGAAATGGCGGGGGGACAGTTCTGTTTGCTTACACACGGGAGTGATGGAGGATCAGAGAGATTTTGCAAAGCTGGGTTTGGGAAGAGTTGGATCTGGGGACTGTGGTCTCTGCAAAGACTTGGGAGCTGGGGAGGGAAAGAAGGGGGAGGAGTCCCCAGAGTTCCGGGCAAAACTGATTTGGGTTACAGTGTGTGACAGATTGGGGACGTGCGTGGGAAGCCCCAGGCCTCTCCCTGTGCTGTCCCGCAGCCCCTCCATTTCCTGTGGCCCAGCGCGGGAAGCTGATGGTCATAGCATGGTGCCAGGACTGCCCCACTACCGGGCTGACCAGCGTTGGCTGGAGTGGGTGGGTGGGAGCAGTGGGGGGAGCAGAAACCCGCAATCCAATTCCCTGCTCCATCTAGGCTCCACAATTAAAGGCAATTACTCTGCAGTTCTCTAATCAAATGCTCCCGGCCGAGCTGCCAGTGGGCAGCCATGTGTAGCTCCCGCAGCCAGAGGGAGAGCGCCAGAGGGAGAGCGGAACAAAGTCACATGGCCTGTCAGCTCCCACGGGGCGGGAGGCTGGGCGTGTGCAGGTGTATCCGTGTGTATGTACTCATGCCCTCGGAGCTTGGGAGCAAGGGGTGAACACACGGAATGGGGAAAGTGTGCAAGAAGTGGGTTCAGAGCTACTTTGTTTGGGATTCACCGCCATCCAGGAAGCTTATATGCGTACATGTGGACGTGCCTGTCCCGTAGAACCTGCCTTTATGTACCTGATGTGTTCAAGGGGGAATTGTACCTGGCATAGTTGTACACATGCGCGACCTCACGTTGGCCACGTACACAAGTCCAAGTAGGGGTACGGTGGTATATTCATGTCTCAGGGATTGTGGGGGACCGTGGCATCACCACAGCATGTGTTATGAAGGTGCCACCCATTGACGGGGGGCTGGGGGCAGGGGAGCGAGGCTCAGGATTTATCCCTGCTCCGTCCTTAACTCACTGGGTGTCCTTGGGAAAGTGACTGTCCTCTCTGGGCCTCAATGTCCTCGTCTGTAAAATGAGAGGGTTGGACTAGCCTGGTCTCTAAGGCCTTTACATAACACTGCACCACTTCCTCTGCTTGCTGAGCACTTCAGTTCCTGAAACCCATTCCCATGGGCCACAGAGGGAGGGAGGAATCCAGGGCGAGCACGTGGCATCTTGGAGGGAAGGGGTTGAGGCTGAAGTGGGACGGGGGCTGGAGGGTCCACCTTCCCAGCCTTCAGCTCTCTCTCTTGGGCCCGGTGCAGGGTGGGAGTGGAAGCCTGGGAGGCTCAGCCTCTTAGTGGAGCCTCTCCTCACTCATCTCCTTACCCAGTACCGCTTTGGCTTTGCCAGGGACCCAGACCCGCTTCAGCCAGGAGCCAGCTGACCAGACTGTGGTGGCTGGACAGCGGGCCGTGCTCCCCTGCGTGCTGCTCAACTACTCGGGGATCGTGCAATGGACCAAGGATGGGCTGGCGTTGGGCATGGGCCAGGGCCTCAAAGGTGAGTGGGCCATGCAGCCAGCCAAGCATCCAGACTACCCCATCTTTTCATTCCTCCCCCACCAACAGAGACTCCTGGACCCAACATCCCTTCGTTCCTCACCACGTTTCTTCTCTGTTCTCTAGCCTCCCCTCTCCCATTTCTGTGTGAGTCAGTCTCCCTCCCTCTCCTCCCGAGCTCTGTCTCCACTGCTTTCCAAAACCCACAGCTCTGCCTTTCCTCCTGGCTGTGGACTGGCTCATGAAAGGCCAACGGGAAGCCTGAGAGATCAAGAGAAACCAAGAGACCTTTACATAAGAGAGCTTCAGACAGACAGACACCACAAGGGGAGCTGCAGGCAGCCAGGTGAAGCAGGAGATGCTGGGAGACTCCAGAGGCCCCCTGCAAGACCTGCCAGTGTTCCATGCCAGGCTGGCTTTGCTCCAGCCTCTCTCCTGCCCCATGCCCAGGCAGTGTCCTCTCAGTGGTCACAAATTCATTTTACTATCAGCCTGAGCACTGTATTTATTCATTCATCAAGCCTTTATTAAGCACTATGGAGCCACTGCGGAAACAAACATAATGTGCTGGGGTGGGGAAACCCTCCTATATTCCAAAACAAGTAAAGATACATTTGGAAAGGCCACCTGGCGGAGTGGATGGGGAGTCAAGACCTGCCTCTGCCACCTCCCAGCTGGGTGACCTTAGGAAAGCCACTTCCCCTCTCTGGGCCTTAGTTTACTACTGTGTAAAACAGGCATAATAGTCGTGGGTCTGCCTGCCTTATAAATGCGTTTGCGAGTTTTGAACCAAATGAGAGAATATGCTTTGTGAAAACACATTGCTCACTGTAAAACAGTGTAATGGTGAAAGTAGGGAGGGATGGTGTATTTTTATTCTTATTGTTGTCCAGGGCTTGAGACTATTTGCTGTGTGTTCCGTGTATTAGAACAGGTAGGGGAAATTTGTCTGTACAGAGCAGTCTGTATGAAGGAAGGAGATGGGGCTGGCGGATCTATTGATGATAGAAAGAGAAAGAAACAGGGAGAGAGAGCGATCAATAGATATGGAGTGAAAAGAATCGATAGCCTCTGGACAGAGGGAGGTAGTGGGAGGGAGCTGATGGTGGGGACCACGAGAGAGGAGGACGGAGTGTGAGGGGGTGGGCAAGAGGCTGGAGGACAGAGGGCGAGGGAGACTGGATTGCAGCGGCCAGAGGTGTGGCTTCTGCAGGGGACGGGACTCGGTTTCAGGGCTCCTTCAGGGAGCTGGCAGGACCCTGCCTCGTGCATCCCTCCCTAGGCGAGTAATGGTGAGACCTTAGCCTGCCTTGGGCTTCCCTCTGGCCCTGGTGAGCTCATGTCTGAGCTGCGATGGCCTATATTTCTTAACGCCCACACACCCTCCCCTCTTCCTCTCCTTTTCTCCCTGCTGTCTGCCTTTTTTTTTTTTTTTTCAGCATAGTTTTTAGTGCTTCTTATCATTGGTGGATTTGTTTTCTGGTTTCATTGCTCTCTTCTTTCATTCTTCCTTTTTTTTACTTTTTTTTGTGGTACGTGGGACTCTCACTGCTGTGGCCTCTACCATTGCGGAGCACAGGCTCTGGATGCGCAGGCTCTCTTCCTTTTTTTTTTTTTTTTTTTTCCCTCTTTCTTTCCTATTATTATGAGAGACATTTGTCTGCAAACAGCTTCGGAGAATTCATCTGCTTCTGCTCATCTCCCCCTTCTGCTCTCCCCCATCACTCCCCCTGCTTTGTGGCTCCCATCCTCACTGTAGGAGGTTGTGACATCACAGTGTCTGCATGGGGACCTCTTCCTCATCAAGAGCCCCTGGTGGGGGGGGGGGGTCCGAGGAGAGGGTGGAGGGAGGAGTGCTGGCCCTGGAATGGGATGCGGACCCTGACATGGGGAGAGGATGCACCCTTGGGGGCAGGGTGGTCCAGGTCGATCCCCAGGTTGGGGCTGGGCTCACCTGGGCTCGCCCTTTCTGTTCCTGCAGCCTGGCCACGGTACCGGGTCGTGGGCTCTGCAGACGCCGGGCAGTACAACCTGGAGATCACAGATGCCGAACTCTCTGATGACGCCTCTTACGAGTGCCAGGCCACGGAGGCCGCCCTGCGCTCCCGGCGAGCAAAGCTCACCGTGCTCAGTAATAACCCCCGACATCCTGCAGGGCCCCCAGCCTCCTGTCTCTGTCTCTTGGCATCCTGGCTGTCCCTGCTTCTCCAATTTGCTCTCTTATTTCCCAGCTTCTCCCTCTCTATTCCTGGCCTCATGTCTGCCCCCACTGTCTCCCTAGCTTTCCCTCCCCAAATCCTTTAAACTTCCAAAGCCAAGTTCAGATAGAAGAGGAAAAAATGGGCACGTGGGCACCCACTGCTGGACATGTGGACTGTGTGAGCTCTGGCATCCTCTCTGCCCCTGCCTGTGCCCAGGCCACGCAGGGACGGGGCTCTGCCTTCTTGCTACAAAGCTTTCCCCACCAGAGTGGGGGCATGTTGACCATGGGGACCGGGCCTCTCCTGGCAGATGGGCTTGTTGGAACCTTCTCCCTTCCTCTCCCTCTCAGCTGCCTCGGAGCCCCAGAAACTACCCCCTCGGCTCCTTTTCCTTGAACTCAGCCCCTCTTCCCTTCGCTCCCTCCTTTCCCCGCTCAGCACACACCCCTTCTCTGCTTCACCTAGAGCCCTCCTCAGGGAACAGGGAAGCAGGACGGGGCTTTGAGGGCTGAGAGTGGGGTGCGGGGACGGGGCGGGCAGGGGTCCTGGCTGAGTCTGCAGGAGCTGCTGGAGGAGGGCTTGTCGCGGTAGCCAACCGCACCCCCCCACCCCACCCCCCGGCTCCCGGCTGCTGCCCACGGGATACAGAACAGATGTCCCTCTATGGCAACACCCAGGGCCATTTGCATAATGAGGGGATTCTCTCCTGCACGCAGTGCGGAATGAGGCCAGCTCTGACACGCCTTCGCCTCCCCTGTTCCGTGCCTTCCCCTCCCTGGCGGTTCCTCCAGCTCCATCACTCTTTCTGTCTCCCTCAAGCTCTCGTGCTCGGGCTGGGCCTCTGCCTCTGCTCTGTTCGTCTCCGGCCTGGCTCTGTCTGCCTGTGACCCTCTTTCTTCCTCTTTGTCATCCACTCTGTCCCTTTCTTTTTTTCTGCCTCCACTTGATCTGTCCTGCTCCCTCTATTTTCTCTCCCCAACCCTGAAATCATTGAAGCGGGGGTCGCCCCCAGGACGGATGGAAGGAAAGGAGGGGGGAGCTGAGATGAGTGAGTGTGGACACAAGGAATGTTCTTACTTGGGGGAGAAAGGTGAGAACATGACAAGTCATCTGAGCGTGGTGGGAAGAGGCCTGGAATGGGAGTCAGGAGACCCGGTCCATTTTGGCACCATGACCCGGAAGAGGTCATAACCTCTGGACAACAAGTTTCTCATCCGTAACATGGGCTGCCAGCCTTTTCTTAGCAACTGCCGCTTTGCTGCTCCCTGAGCAGGGAGTTGTAAACTCCGAAGGTCTGGGCAGACGTGAGGTGGTGTCAGAAGAAGTGAGGACTGGAGGGACCCGACAGCCAGTTTCTCTGGATGCAAAGACCCTGAAGGACCAGGACTCAGGGCTGGTGGATGACTCGCTTTTCCTCTCCGGTGAGGACAAATGGGAAGAATTAACAAGAAGCAGGGTGGAGGTTAGGAAGCAAGAGTTAGCTAAACACCAGGGCTATAGCATGGGATGCCAAGACATCCGCTTCCATGCCTCGTTGGAGAGTGTATGAGCCCCGACGCCGGACCAGGCATTCCAAGGGAACGTGAGATTCTTAGGAGACCTTCTGTCTTTTTCGCTCCCTAACTGCTTTGGCTTGGATCTACTTCTAGACTGGAGAACTGCCATTCTAATGAGGGGCCTCTGATACTCTCCCTTCCCTCTCCTACCCCAGCACAGAGACGGAGAAATAGAGAGAGATGAGTAGAGACCAACCAAGCCCATAGATTTCCCAGGAACTCCATAATGGCATCCAGTGTCTTGGTTCAATCAGGGAAGGCTTCCTGGCAGAGGAGAATACCCATGGGAACCCTAGATGGAGGAGTACCTTGTTTACAAAAGCTTGCGAGTCAGCGAGGGAGGAGCCGACTGGCTTGTCTGCAGGGCACGGTCAGTGTTGAGGGTGTGGGCCTTCATAGCCTGTCTGAGTGATTTAGGTGGATGAGGGGAACAGGAGGAAGCCCCAAGAGTAAATGAGATGAAAGATGAACCCGGCTACTCCTTTCCCCTCCCTCCCCCTCCTTGTCTCTCTGGAATTCTCACACTCCCTGCCTCCTGCAGCCACGTGGAGGCACTGAGAAGGCAAGACGTCTGTGCATCCTCCCTGCTCACCTGCTTGCACACAGCCTTCGTTCATGGCAGCCTGGGGCTCAGAGACGGGGCAGGGCCGAGAGTGGGCTGTGTTCACTCCTCGGAATCAGCCTCCCTGCACACGGCCAGCCTCGTCACCTCGCCTCCCCTGTAGCCATGCCTCTCATTGGCCCACCCCAGACGAGCCCAGGTCACAGAATGGCCTTTCATTCTTCCTGCCTCAGGGCTCCGAGAAGCTGCCTCCCACTCCCTCGCAGATGCCGACGCAGGCATAATATTTATCTACAGACCCATGGCTCCCTCATTACTCACAGCAAGAACCGCTCGAGTGCAGTGGTGATGGGCATGGCTTCGGCGGGCCTGGTACACATCCCAGCCCTGACATTCAGCTCACTCTCCTGTCCCTGAGCCTCGGTACCTTGTCTGTAAATGGAGGTTAATGGTATTTACCATGAAAGGATTAATGAAAAACACTCTGTGGTGAGGATGAAATGAAATCGTATACGTGAGGCGCTTGAGCTGACATGGGGTGGGCATTCAGTGAATGGTGGAGATGCCGTCGATCACGTTACAGTTTACAGTCGGCTTCATATTCTTGGTCTCCTTTCACCTTCACAGTAACGACTCTGGGGGACAGGTGTCAATGTGCTTTTTGAATTTTACAAACAAGGAAGCTGAGGCCTCAGACACATGTACATATTGATACACAGATTTAAGTCACAAGTCCTAAAAATGTTTTCATAAACATACACAGGGACCCACGCCTAACTGAGCATATGGTAGTGATGGATAAGCAGACACCTCAACAGGCTTATTTTCCTTTTTGCCCCAGATACGAAGAGAAAGGTGGGCTAGTGGCAGAGGTGACAGGTGGGCGGCCTTCCCTGAACAAAGGGCGAGGGTCAACGTTACAAGGGAAGGGAGAGCCGATGGGAGGAGAAGCCCTCCCTCTGCCCATCCAGGGCTGTCCTCCTGGGGTGTGGCAGCAAGGTGTGACCTTGGAGGGGTCCACGCAGACCAGGAGACCCCGAGTGGCGGCTCTCTATCCATTTGTCTCCTTTCCACCCTGTTTGCAAATCTGCGCCCATCTGGCATTGGAGCCAGGTACACCGGTGAGCAAAGAGGAAGAGTCCGGGATTCAGCGATCATTCACCAGTCAGGAGTTGGAGGCACTGCTGCCTCTTGTCCGAGCAGTAAAGTGAACACACTGCACACGTCACGCGCGTGTGCCCTGCGCACGATAGTGCATGTACAGCCCTCATCTGGCCTTCATGAGGGCCCTGGGAATGAGCACCGTATGTCTCTGTTGAAGAAACTGTGACTTGAGGGCTTCACCCAAGATCACATGACACATGCCAGGATTTGAAACTGGGGCAGCCTGATTCTACAACCCATGCTTTTCACACACCCCCACTCTGCATGCATGAGTTGAGCAGAATACTGGGATGGGCTACAAGTGGTTCCCTTCTCTTAGAAACCCCAGCATGGAGACTGTCATTTCATAAACTACAGGACAGCGCTGCCCACAACTGGACTCATGGGCCTCCCAGGGTCTCCTCTCAAGGATTCCCTTGGAAAGGCCCCTCTGAGTCTTTGTGGTTTTTCCCAGCAAAAAAGCAAACAAAACCCTTTCACATTGCTGGCCAATGAACATGAGGTGGACCAGAAATCAAAATTATAATCCAAACCCTTCTGCCTTTATTTCATCAATCACTTAGCCACTAATTCAGCTAATATCCCCGAGGATGTGCTATCAACCAACCTCTGCACTGGATCTTGGGGCTTTAAGAGAAAATAAGAAGCAGCCCCTGCTCCCAGGGAACTTGCAGTCTGGTTCACCTGAGCATTTAGAAGCCTATGGGAATAGGACAGGGAGAGGCTCCCCTATTTCCTAGTATCAGACATCTGATGGATTCAATTCCTTAAGCATTTAGCCAGAGCCTGCTTTGGTCATGTTCTAGGCCCTGGAGACTGTATAAATATTAGTGAGATGGAGTTCCTGCTTTTTCAGGGATGACAGTTTGGGTTGGGGAGGGGGCATGGATAATCATATTAAGTAATGCAAACACAAGGTAGATAGTGCTTGAAGCTCCAAGTGACTGGCTGGGAACCACCAAGGTGGTGATTGTGGGGGATGTGGCATGGAGGGCCCTGTGCAGCAGCTGGGATGTGAACAGGATGGACAGCAGTTCAAGAGAAGCCCTGAGGGGAAGAACACCAAAAACGAGACGAGGAGATGCGAAAGTACAGGACTTGGCCTGAGGAACCCTGGACGGCAGGCAGAGATGCTTGCAACTCATGCCCATGGCAGCTGGTAGACATGGAAGGTGTTTGAGCAGGGAAGTGGCACAGTCTTACCTGCTCTCTAGAGAAAATAACTTGCCAGCGTGACGGATGGGTTAAGGCCAGCGGGGACTGGAGGCGGGGAGTCCATTTCGGAGGTTGCCGTGATAGACCCCCTCCTCTGGCTGCCCCAGGGCACAGGCACACACAGGAGGGAATGGACATAAGAAACTCCGTGGAGGTAGCCACCTTTCTGTGCCAGGCCCCCCAGGCCACAGGAGGAACAGATACAGTGATTAAAAATTAGGGGGTAAGGATGGTCCTGCCCTGCCAAGGGGTGGACATGCAGAGGTTGAGATGCCTCCAGGGGCAGGGGTTTTGGTCATACGGGCAGTGTTGGCTGCATCCTGGACTGACTCTGCTCTGCTCTTCTCCACAGTCCCCCCGGAGGACACCAGGATCGATGGCGGTCCTGTGATTCTGCTGCAGGCAGGCGCCCCCCACAACCTCACGTGCCGAGCCTTCAACGCCAAGCCTGCTGCCACCATCATCTGGTTCCGGGATGGGACGCAGCAGGAGGGCGCCGTAGCCAGCACGGTGAGACCCTGCCTGTTCCCCTAGATCCTCCTGGGCCACATCCCAGTTCACCTTTCCTTTCCCACATGGATCTGACCAGAGACTCGGGGAGACAGATGTGAACAGGGGCCTCAGAGACCATCTGGTCCAATCCTCCCATTAAACAGTTGGGAAAGTTGAGGTCCGGAGAAGAGAAGTGAATTCCCAGGTTCACAGGGCCAGTCAACAGTTAGCAGAGACTAAGAATAATGCTGAAAATAACTACATTGATTAAGCCCCTACTGTGTACCAGGCACTGTGCATGGTAAGATCTTTATGGACAGTCTCTCTTAAACCTCACAGGGATTTCATAAATTAGGTGATATTTCCAACTCACAAAGAGTGAACTGATGGTCAGAGAGGTTGAGTGACTTGCCAGGGTCACAAAGCTGACATGCTGCAGAGCTGGGGTTTGTGCCTGCATCAGAATGTGGCCTCTCGCTACTGAGCCCCTCGACTTTCTTCCCCCAGCCTCTAGTTGGTACGTGTTCCCAGTCGGCGCAACTAAGAGCTTGGGGAGGCAGGGATTATGTGTACATGTTATAGATGAGGAACCTACGGCAGAGAAAGACATCAAGGTACTTGCCCGGGATCACACGGCAAAGTTGACGATGGAGCTGGAATTAGAATCCAGATCTCCTGTTTGGAGCTCCTCCCGTCAGCTGGGGACAAGCACATATGTACCCAGCCCTTTGCTAGATGCTTCAGGAGACAATTCTCATTGAGGGGAGAGAGAAGTTTCACCTGTGTGCCTCGGAATGTGTGGCCCCAGGGAGTGAGTACTCGGATTAGCTCTGCGCTTGATGCTCTGTATGACCTTGGACAATTCACTTGTCTCTGGCCTTCGATTCACCCTTTGACAAGTGGCAATTTGGCTTCAGTGGTGCTTAACTTTTTCACTACCAAGAACTCCGTTTTGTTTTTCCTCTAGGGCTTCATGTTTTGAATATTTTGGCAACCAAACAAACTGAATGGTTAATGGCCATTTGTCATCCACCCCCCTTTTTTATACTCATTAAAGACACGATGGAGCTTTGAAGCAGCAGGAGGGGGCTGGTGTTACTGCACTGGGCTGGTGCTGTTCTGGTACCACATCGGGCCCAGCAAGGATGCCTATATATTGCTGTCAAACTGTGGGCCCCTACTTTGCTTAACAGTATGGTTTCCCTTAGGCAGTGTACAATATGGAAAACAGCCCAAGTGTTCCTATGATCATGTCCAAGGACCTCAGTTTGGATATTACTGAGCCGGTATGAGATTCTGAGCCTGTGAGTCCCTTCCCTGCCCTCAAGGAGTTTACGGTCTAGCAGGAGAGACCCAGCAATGGAACACACATGCACGGTGCCTAAGAGGCCAGCCCGTATGTGACCAGAGTGGTGTGGAGGACAGACTGCCTGCAAGGGGCACAAGTTCAGGCTGGGGAGAGAGTCCTGAGGGCTGGGATAGCAAAGGAAGACTTTCCAGAAGAGGAAGGACTTGGGCTGGACTCAGGGGATTCCAGGAATGGGACTCAAAACCATGGGGAAAACTGTACAACACACAGAGTGAACTCTAATGTAAACTATGGGCTTTCATTAGTATTGGTACCGATGTTGGTTCATCTGCTGTAACACATGTATCACACTAGTGCATCATGTTAATTAATAATAGGGGAAACTGGGGGGCCAGAGAGGAGGGTATACAGGAACTCTCTGTATTTTCTATTCAACTTCTCTGTAAACGTAAAACTTCTCTTAAAAAATAATAAAGTCTATTAATTAAAAACTAAACCAATCCAAGCCTGGGGAGGAGGTAGGGGCTGGGGGAGGGTTGAGCTTTGGGTTAAACACCCCTCCAGCAAGCCAGCTCTGAGCGGGTCACCCTGAGAGCAGAGGAGGGGGCTTTTAGCTTAACCGTGTCTCCCACCCTTGTTTCCCCCACCCCAGGAACTGCTGAAGGATGGGAAGAGGGAGACCACCGTCAGCCAGCTGCTCATCAACCCCACAGACCTGGATATTGGGCGTGTCTTCACCTGCCGCAGCGTGAACGAGGCCATCCCGAGTGGCAAGGAGACGTCCATCGAGCTCGACGTGCACCGTGAGCAGGGTCCTGGGGTGGAGGCAGGGATCGTGGGGTGGGGGGAATGTGCACCTTGAGTGGCGTCCTGGGAAGGAGCCCGGGAAGGGCGGGCGGGGGGCAGCACCCTTTGAGAAGCTCAGAAGAATCCCCCAGCTGCCCTGGGACAGATGCTCCATTTCTTCGTCGTCTTGGATTCCCTGGTTTGAACTCTGAGGGCTGGTAGAAGAGGCATCAGCTGTGAGCCAGGCAGTTCCCGGGTTTAAACCGTGTGACTTTGGGCAATGACATAATCTCTGAGCCTCAGTTTCTAATTCGGTATACGTGCAGAAAATAAAATGCAGGCCTACAATCCCTTATCGGAAATTCTAAACCAAAAGCGCTTGGGTGGCAAAACCTGAACCGAGGCTCTTCGTAGTCTTTTATTTAACCCACTTAATTGGAATAGCTACACGTTTCACTGCAGATGTATTAATGCGTGTGTCTGTGGGATATTGCCCAGACTGTGCTGGGGGTCTTACACAGTAAACGGTCTGTGCCCACCATTACCTTTCTAACCCTTGAAATACCCCAAATTCTGAAACACATCTAGTTCCAGGGGTTTCAGATAAGGGATTGTGGACCTGTACCTGCTTCTCAGGGTTGTGAGCATTAAGTGAGATATAGTGTAAGAGCATCTAGCATGGCGTATGCTACTTGGTAAGTGCTCAATTAAACTCCCACTCCCCAGGGAAGGGTGGGAGAGTGGCAGCGATTGGAGAGATGCCCCACCCCCATCCCGGTCAGTGAGCCGAACGAGCCCACACTGACGCCTAGTGGTCACAGTCCGTCAATACACCTGACTAATTTGTCCCTCTGGTATCATCCTTGGTCGTCACCCTAGCCGCCCCCTAGAGGCTCCTGGAATAAAGGTGAAGAAGCCTTGTTTATTGGAGCTGGTACACTGCAAAGTCAAATTCCCGGGTCACCACGCGGGTGAGGTCTGAGTGTGTGCGCTAGAGAGAGAAAAAGAAATTTGAGGGACAGAAAAGACCCTGACTTCCAGTCCTCTGCTTTGCAGACCCTCCTACGGTGACCCTGTCCATTGAGCCACAGACGGTGCAGGAGGGCGAGCGCGTCGTCTTTACGTGCCAGGCCACAGCCAACCCTGAGATCCTGGGCTACAGGTGGGAGGGGCAGGGGCTGGGCACACTCTGGGGAAGGATACTGGGAGGCCCTTAAGGCCAGGAGTGGGGGGCTGAGGAGGACAGGCCACTGGACGTGAGTGAGAGGGCTCCAAGGCCTGACCCCGCTCTGTGTTGCCTGTTTCCCCCAGGTGGGCCAAGGGGGGCTTTCTGATTGAAGACGCCCACGAAAGTCGCTATGAGACGAATGTTGACTATTCCTTTTTCACGGAGCCTGTGTCCTGTGAGGTTTACAACAAAGTGGGAAGCACCAATGTCAGCACTTTAGTCAATGTCCACTGTGAGTAGCTGCAGGGGCGGGGGTGGGGACAGAGGGCCGGGGCTTTAAAGGGCCTGGGGTGGGGTTGGGGGGGTTCCATGAGGCTGAGGGGGCGGGGGGAGGAGGCAGGACAGGAGAAGGAAGAGGACAGCGATTGGAGCTGACCCCCAGGGAGACTCAGACCCTAACGGGCTGTTCCTTTCTACCTCAGTTGCCCCCCGGATAGTAGTGGACCCCAAACCCACGACCACAGACATTGGCTCTGATGTGACCCTCACCTGTGTCTGGGTTGGGAATCCCCCCCTCACCCTCACCTGGACCAAAAAGGACTCAAACATGGTAAGAAGCTTGCTGCCTCTCCGGGATGCTGGAAGGAAGGAGCCTGGCCACAGGCTGGGGAGAGAGGGGGCAAAGGAGGTGCAGCATTATTTTTCAAGTTGAATCTGGGCTATTTCCAAGTTCTCAGGATTTGGAAGAGAAGGACGGTGCTTGCAATCAACCCCACCCTCCTCGGCAGACAGCTGGCCGCTGCAGTGGCAGTGGGAGGGACGTGATGACCTGTGGGGTGGGAGGGGGGCAGGGGGCCTGAGTGGAACTGCTGCGGTGGCAAGAGACCTGGTAAAAGAATGCTGCATAGGAGGGTGGAGAAGCTGGGATGACTCACTAGAGGAAAGAAGGCTGAATTGTGCCGCTCTACAGCGACCTGCCTTGGACAGTTTGGGCCACAGTTGCAAAAAGAGGGATTTCAGAGTGAAACTTCCTACCTCATTTGGCACTAGAGAAGCATTAGAACAGATGACCAGAAGTGGCTGCATCCTCTGTACAGATCGATGGCAGTCTCACCTGCCCTCCTGAGCCTCCACCCATTTCTGCCCGCTCTTCTATAAAGAGATGATGTGTCTAAATGCCAACCTGTTTAGAGTCAGGGGATGGACCAGATAGACTCGGGACCCTGTTTCCCTTCTGGGAATTCACTTGTGGCCCTTCCTGCTTTCTTTCCAATGCCTCCAATGCGGGGGCCCGCACGGATCTAGGGGCCCAGGCCTCCTGGCTCCCCACCCGAGGCTGCTCTCTCTGCCCAGGTCCTGAGTAACAGCAACCAGCTGCTGCTGAAGTCGGTGACCCAGGCCGATGCCGGCACCTACACCTGCCGGGCCATCGTGCCTCGGATCGGAGTGGCCGAGCGGGAGGTGCCACTTTATGTGAATGGTGAGTGGCCTGAGGGGGGCGGGGGGCCTGTGAGGGGGAGGCAGACACTGGAGGTCCCAGCTGGCCCTGACCACGTCTTCTTGCTTGCAGGGCCCCCCATTATCTCCAGCGAGGCCGTGCAGTACGCCGTCAGGGGTGATGGTGGCAAGGTGGAGTGTTTCATCGGGAGCACACCACCCCCAGACCGCATTGTGAGTGCTGAGCCTGGCCTCGGGCCGGCAGCCGCTTGCTTCTCTGCTTGTCTCAGCCTTCTCCCACTTTCCCCAGGCCTTTCCTGCGCCCTGTGCTTCTCATCCTCTGACTCTGTCCCTCTGTCCCTCTGTCCCTCTGTCCCTCTTCCTGTTCAAATGCCATCTCCTCTCTTACTTGTTGTGTGACCCTGAGCCAGTTACTTGTTACTTGGAACCTCAGTTTCCTCATCCGTAAAACAGGGGCAGTGATCCCTACCAAACAGGGTTGCTGTGAGAAGTGATGTGACAACACGTGTGAAAGGCCTGGTGGAGCCTCCCTGGATATGCTGCTGGTTCCCCTGGGCTTTCACGCCTGCTCTTTCCTCTCCCTTGTCTCCTTCCCTTTCCGCAGCCTCCCGATCTCTTCCTTGGCCTCTTCTCTGCCTTCTGCCCCTCCACCCTGCCCCCTCAGTTCTGTCCCACCCTGTCATCCCTTCCTCTCTCTTCTCCTGCCCTTCCTCCTCCCACCAGCCCCCATGCCGCTCTCCACCCCGCTCCCTCTCCCCCACACCATGAACCATTAATTCCTTCCGTGACCATTAACCGTCAAACCCCTCATCACATTTAATGACCATTTGGCTAACTCCACGGCTGCCCAGAGACACTTCATTACCATGGCCACCTGGGCAGCGGGCGGCTTGGCTCCCGGGGGGCTTTCCTTGCAGAGCTAGGAGGACTGATGTCTGGAAACGAGCCAGTTCTCGGGTTCTACTCTGAGGGAGGGGGACACAAAGGGGGGATGCCCCGGCTAGGGGGTCGGGGATGGAAGAGCCTGGGAGAGACAGCTCTCCGGTGCCAATTCCCACTCATTATAAGGGTCTGTGGATGAGTCTCCAGAGCCAGTGGGCTATGTAGGGCCAGCTGTGGAGTGGTTAGAGGTGACGTTGAAGGTTAAGTTATGTTTAGTTAGAATCTCAGACTATCGGAGCTGGAGGAAAGCTGGAGCATTGTCTGCCTCTAGCCTGGTCCTCTCCTTTTCTAGGAAACTGAGACCCAGAGAGGGAAGGGGAGGCTGCACAGGGCTCGAGGGGAGAGTCAGGCCTAGAGCCCAGGGTTCTTGGCTCTCCACCCAGGATTTGTTTTACCACATCAGGGGTCCCACATGTTGCTTCATTGGATCCGCTGGGGTTGTTACAAAAATAGAGATTCCCAATAAAAGAAGCCTGAATTCTAACTTGGAGAAGGTGGGTCTCCGGGACAGTAGTCGACCGTCTTCTTGGCCTGCTGGCTTTCCGAATAAAATTGCTCTCCCTTGCCCCAACAAAGACAGCAACAGCAAAACAGAGATTCCTGGGCCTCTCCCCTGGAGAGTCAAATGAAGGAGATAAGCCCCGGGAATCTGCATGTTAAAGAGCGTCTCTGAGCATATTTGAATGGTCCCAGCACATGTCGCAGGCATGTTTGGGAGCCGCTGCTTCTGCTGGACTGGAGGTTTGATGCCAGGGTTTGAGGCAGCAGGTGTGACTTGGGCTTGTTTCAGGGCAAGCGTGGGGCTGGGCTTAAGATCGCATGGGGTGAGGATGTGAGGATGCCTGGAGGGTGGGTCAGGTGTTTCTGCCACCTGCCTCCCTCCTCCTCATCCCGTGCTGCCCTCCCCACCCCAGGCATGGGCATGGAAGGAGAACTTCCTGGAGGTGGGGACCCTGGAACGCTACACGGTGGAGAGGACCAACTCAGGCAGCGGGGTCCTGTCCACGCTCACCATCAACAACGTCATGGAGGCCGACTTTCAGACCCACTACAACTGCACAGCCTGGAACAGCTTCGGCCCAGGCACGGCCATCATCCAGCTGGAAGAGCGAGGTGACAGCAGTACTGGCTGTGTAGCCAGGGCGCCGGGCGGCCTGGGGACTCTGCTCCCTCTTCTCTCTGGGGGCATGGCTCAGAGAGACAGCTCCCTCCTGGGCCTGCCCACCAGAGCCTGGTCTTGGTGCTCAGTTGGAAAAGCCACTCGCATTTTTAAACATTTATTGAGCATCTGTTATGTGCCAGCCACCCCCTCTAGGAACTGCAGGGACAGATGTGAACGAACACAGTCCTTGCCCTCCGGGAACTTTCAGTTCAGAGGAGAACTTACAGAGTGGTAGCGAATGACTTCAGATGGAGAAAAATGAAATGATCTGTGAAAGGGAGTAACACTCCCTACCTCACTGGCTTGGTGTGAGGATTAAATGAGAAGATATTCATGAAGCTCCTGGCCTAGAATAGGTGCCCAGGAAGCTTCGGTTCCCCTGCCTCTTCACGAATCCTTAGTCTGGTAGGAGACACATCTTCCCTCCCTTAAGGCACTTCTAGTGTGATGAAAGAGCCATCACGCCTTTGACATTTTGGGAAGCTCCCAACTCTGATGAGGAAGAGAGCCGCCCCCCCCTCCTCTTTTTTTTTTTTTTTT